AAAAGCCAGAAGTGGCGCTGTGGCTCAAGTGGTAGAGCGCTAGCCTTGAGCTGAAGAGCTGAGGAACAGCGCCCAGACCCAGAGTTCAGGCCCCATGACTGGCAAAAAAAAAAAAAAAAAGAAGAAGAAGATGATGAGGGTTTTATAACTTCTAGTAAAACATGGCACTATAATTTTTCTTTGTTCTCTCCCAAAATCCAACTAAAATGACAGGAAGGAAAAATGTAAGGGCCAGGCACTGGTGGCTCATGCCTAAACTCCTAGCTACTCAGGAGGCTGAGATCTGAAGATTTTGGTTCAAAGCCAGCCTGGGCAGAAAAGTCTAAGACTCATATCTCCAATTGACCACTAGAAAACCAGAAGTGGTGCTGTGATTCTAAGTGACAGAGTGCTAGCCTTGAGTGAAAAAGCTCAGAGACCACTCCCAGGCCTTGAGTTCACGTCCCATGATGACCAAAAAAAAAAGTTAAGTATTACTTAGGAAGACAAGGATAATGGAAAAGGATATAAATAACACATTAAAGATGTCAGTAGAATTTTAGAAAATTAAGTAACTAATGTTGAAATTAAAAGATCTTCATAGGAAGAAACCAATAATCAGCAAGCCAACTGAGCTACCAAAGCCTGGGTCAAGAATTGAAGACATTAAGTACCTCTAAAAACAGGATTGGGTTAGCCTGTAAAAGGAGCAAATCCTGTCCTCTATTTTATCTGGACAAGTGCTTATCCTCCCCTTAATCTGGAAGAACATAAAAGATTTGTTCTATAGAGGCAGTCAGGGGAAAGAGGTAAAGCACCATATTGACAGTTGAGAATAAGTTTATAAAATGAATGGTGAGTGATCCCTAACAGCCATTTCAGAAAGCTGGTGGCTCTCTCATAAGCTCATGGCAAGAGACAGAAAGCTTTCTCTCTACATAAACTGAAAAGCCAAGAAAGAGATATACTTAATGGTATATCTCTAAACATCTAAGACAACATAAGGTATTTGATAAGAGTATAGATGAAATGATTATATGCAAAAACCACATTGAAACAAATACTTACATAACCAACATCAGGTCTGTAACATGTATATGCCCCTAAGATACTATGTAAAACATCATGATATGGGCCACCCTTAGGAGAGAAAATGAAATTTGAAACTATGAATAATTGTCTCTCAGTTAACATATAACATGTTAAAAACTGTAGCATTTCCTAAATGACTAGTTTTAGTGTATTTAACAATATCAAAAATATTCTAGAAGTATTCTATGAAGGTACTTTCAAAATTAATAAAAATATTGATCTCAAATAATAAAAAAGGAAGTCAAATATATACAGGGATATAAGCTATATAATTTGTAAACAATTTTAAAGAATTCTGGATCTGGCATAATAAGTAAATGGTAAATACAGATTCTCTTTTTTTGGTGGAGGAGATTGCTGGTGATTAAAGCTGGTGCCTCGCAGGCCCTTTACTACTGAGCTATATCCCCAGCCCATTTAATTAATTAATTTTTTGGTGCCAGTCCTGGGGCTTGAACTCAGGGGGTAGGCACTGTTCCTAAGCTTTTTGGTTCAGGCCCAATTCCACATCCAACTTTTTGGTAATTGATTAGATGTTAAGAATCTCATGGGCTTTCCTGCCCAGACTGGCTTTGAACCATGACCCTCAGATCTCAGCCCCCTAAACAGCTAGGATTACAGGCCTGAGCCAATAGTGCCTAGCTCCATTTGATTTTATATAATGCAATTTCTGCAAAAGAAAAACAACTAAAATATTATAAATTAAATTGTATCAATTTTAATCTTATTAAAAGAATTCTGTTAATGACCTAGCTTGCAGTATGAATGAAGTATTTTCTATTTTAATGGTAACTACAGAAAATAGCTAATTATTTTTCTTGTAAAATAAATTAAAAATAAACTTTAGGGGATAACTTCAAAATGTTTAGTTTGTGACAAAGTTAACTATATTTTAATATTTTACTAGGCAAAACATTAAGAATTCAAGTGGCATAGAATGAAAAGTAGAACAAGAAATACAGTGCAATAAAACTATATTAAATAACTATTACAAAGAGGCATGTACTATACTAAAATGTATTTTAATCAGTGGAATATTAAAATTTTCTTTTTATATAAAGTGCCCATTTATGTATTTAGAGAATCTGTCTAATTGGATATTGAAATACTTAAAAAAAAAAAAGTAGTTACAAGCTAGTTGCAAACCCTCACCTTCTGAAAGATGTAGAGAGATGGAAATGTACGGGATATGTCCAACTTAATTAATTCCAGACTGGCCTCTCGGTCAGCAACAGATATACCTGCATTTACCAAGTAGATAAAATTTAAATGATCACTTGGCTGTAACAAGTTCAATGTTATAAACACAGAATGATCATATAGCATATGTGTTATTTATTGAAAGTAAACAGTAATAAAAAATTTAAGAAATGCCATAGTTTTTCCTATAACTCAAAGTATTGTATAAGAAGAAAATGTCTATATATTTATTAGAAAAGTATACAATGAACAAAGTCTACTGTAGATTTATAAAATGCAGGAGAGACTTATCTTTCCCATAGTAAGAATTAGAAAAATATTAAAACAAGCACAAATAACACATTTTAAAAATGACCTCAGAGTTGATAGAAGTCTAGAACATTTAAATTCCAGAAAGGAACAGCCTTTCCTGTGTATGTGGACACTAGTGGCCATTTTTCCCCTTTAGGGGCCTTTGTCACATCTATGATTGGGTTTAGAACAGAGCTAGTACACTGTACCCTACTCCAGGAAAGAGAAACCAGGATGAGCTTTTCTGGCCAAATAGGGGTGATAAATACAAATCTGGAGATTTCTGTATCTGGTTTTACCCTATCTAGACTTTTCTCTGAATGCAGGAAGTCAACGTGGAAGGAAATTAACCCAAGTCACATTGTCTTTGGAAGACCTTTCATTGGAGAAGCCTAAAATCATATTAGTTCTTTCCAATAAGTAATTTGAAACCCAAAATGAACTCAATCTTTAGACATCTACAACCTCATCTCAATTCAGCAATTGATGATAAAACCCTAATCCAACTGCCTATATATAGGTACAGAACATGCTTCCCCTGTACAGGACACATCAGCATCATTTTCTATACTCTTTTTCTATATACTGTCTAGATATAATTTTAAAAACTTAAAGATATGCAAAGATGTAAGAAATGTGACTTAAATTAAGGGGACACCAACCCATAGAAGCAGACCTACAATTCTGTAATGCAGAATAGGAATTAATAGACAAGAATATCATCTGTTATTCTATGTTAAAGAAAACAAGGGAAAAGATGGAGAGAAAATGTATGGATGGAAAGCCAAAGAATTTACACAGAAATAGAATGTATAAAAACAACAAAGAAGACATTCTAAAATTACAAAGTATAATACCTAAAATTAAAAACTTAGATTTCATATAGTATGAGATCAAGCAGAAGAAAGAAAGGATTAGTCCTAATCTTAGATTAGTAAAAAATCATTCAAATTAAAGCAAAGAAAAAAACAGTACAAGAGATTTGTTGGACATCGTTCAATGGTCTATTATGCACATAATTAGAGTATGAGAAGAACAACAAGAAAGATGTAGTTAAAGCAATATTTGCAAAGCAAATGGCCAAAAAGTTAAATGATAACTGCAAATTTAAAATACTCTAGAATCTGGGAACTGGTGGCTCACATTGGTAATCTTAGCTACTCAGGAGACTGAGATCTGAGGATCACAGTTCAAAGCCATCCCAGACAGGAAAGGCTGTGTGACTCTTATCTCCAATTAACCACCAGAAAACTGTAAGTAGAGCTGTGGCTCAAAACTAGTCTTGAGCACAAAAGCTCAGTGACAGTGCCCGGGCTCTGAGTTCAAGTCCACAACTGACAAAAGATAAAATAAAATACTCTAGAAAGGAGAAAACAGTAATTTAGAATGCTGTTTCTAGCCAGGCAACAGCTTCTCACACCTGTAATCCCAGCTATTTAGGAAGCTGACATCTGAGGATCATGGTTCAAAGCTAGCCCAGGCAAGAAAGGTCCTAAGACTCATCTCCAATTAACCACCAGAAAACCGGAAGTGACACTGTGGCTCAAAATGGTAGAGTGTCAGTCTTGAGTGAAAAAGCTCAGGAAAAAGTGCTCAGGCCCTGAGTTCAAGCCCCACCACCACCAACAACAACAAAAGAATATTACTTCTGACTGGAATAATTCTTCATTCAAGCAATTTCTCCTGAAGTCAAATTATTTATTCATAAACTATTTCATGTATTAATACTTCTCATTACAATTCCTAAAATTTTGCTTCTTTGAAACCAGCACAGAACTTCTTAGGTCTTTGCCTTTCTTTTATTTATTAGAAGTTTTACTTTTATGAAGCAAAAATACTTTAAAAATTGTTCCCCATTATCCAAGGGCAACAGATAGTTGAATAAATCTACCCAAATTAATAAACTATGAGAGGAAAAAATAATGTTCCTAGTTACTTCCAAATGACTAGAAAATCAACTGGCAAGTATGGAAGGAGAGATGGGGCTATGAGTGAATTACATAAGCAAGAAATAAGGAATAGTAAGAATTATAAATAATAGATTAGGGATTAGTCAATGGATGGGGAAAGATAAAGAGGTCATAAGTAAAATGTGAAATACACCTATATTTAAGAAAGAGTTTGGCCTAAATGCACTTTGTCAGATTAACCTCATAATTTAAACCTGGAGTACAACAAATATGATTTATACCTCAGCTTCTCAATTTATAAACTACTTAACTACTCTAAGTCTCGACTTCCTCTTCTATAATTCAGAATAATATCACCTACTGAAAAAGTTAAGAATAAATGATATAATATTTGTAAAGCGATTTTTCACATTTTCTGATTCATGGTATAAATTCACGGTATTATCTTCAGTAACTGGATTGTCATCCTAAAAACTTGTAAAAACACAACAACAAAAAGGAGCATACCTTCTATATCATTATCTGAACTTGTTTCACTGAAGCTTTTCCATCGTTCTTTTGCTCTTGAAAGGAAGATCTCATAAAGTTCTAAGGAAAAACAACAACAAAATTTTATAAATAATAAGAAATATATTCACATTTTTCTCTTAAATCTTTACTATAGGTCAATTCTTTCTGGTTTGTCACATATCAAAAAAGTAGCAAACTGCAGTATTTGATTTTACCAGAATTATTCATAATCCAATCAGAAACAACTTAAAATGAAAATACTTAAGAAGCCTAGGCAGTGTGTTGATACATATTGTAACATCAACTACAGATAGTGACAGAGATGGGAGAAATTCAGTTTGAGGTCAGCCTAAGAACAAAATTTAGTGGGATTCTTTAAAAAAAAAAAAGACAAAAATCACAAGTTGAACATAGTGGTACTTCCTGTAATGCAAACTATGCAGAAGACAAAGTAAGAGGACTGAGGTCCAAAATTGGCCTTAGGTTAAAGCACAAGACCATGTGATTGACTGAGCACAAGTACTTGAGTTGAACACGAGGACCTAAATTCAAACCCTAGTAATGATCCCTCAAACACATGGTCATACAGGTAGCAACAATATTGAATGTATATGAGTACAGGAAACATGCTTCTGTAAAGGAAGTGCTATTAGGGAACAGCAGAAACAACTCTTGGAGGCAGAAATAGATTTGCATTCCAACTCTGCCACATGCTACCTAAGGAACTTCGTTACTTAATTCTGGAACTTGGCTTCCTTTATCTGTAAACTAGAGGAAATAACACCTACTCATACACTACTATATGAGTATACAAGGTATTGTTATAAACAAGATATTTTATATAAAGCTTCTAGTATTTTATGGACTCTCAGTAAATGCTAGTTCTTCCTTTGTTTCCTTATTTTTCCACTGCTTCCTAAAACTATCTGTACTTCATACAGATTTGGTTCTTTAGCCAAAAATCCCTATCCTAACACCAGTCTTTCTGATTAAAATCTCTATCTATAAAAAATTTCTATCCTTTTCTTTTTACTCAGCCATCCTACCAATCACTGTCAGAGACTACTGCTGTTTCATGTTTGGTCTTATAAAACTTCAGGAACATGGGCTGGGAATGTGGCTTAGAGTTGGCTGTTTGCCTACCATGCATGAATCCTAGGTTCAATTCCTCAGTACCACATAAACTAAAAAAGCAGGACGTGGCTTTGTGGCTCAAGTGGTAGAGTACTATCCTTGAGTAAAAAAAGAAGCTCAGGGACAGTGCCTGGGGCCTGAGCTCAAGCCCCAGGACTGACAAAAAACAAAAACTTTAAGAACAGAAAATTCTCACATTTTTATTGTCTTACCCTTACAGATACTGGAAGATATACAAAAATAGTGAATTCAAGTGACAGCATGTCAAAAAATATTTTCAGTGAATAGTAACATTCATATATTGTCCAATACTAAGAAGAGTTTTCACTTAAATGGATTCTTTTTAAAATTTACAGTAAAATATGAAAGTAATACCTAAAATATAAAAACAGTATAAAATGGTAAAAAGTAAAAAGTAAATTTCTTTCTCTCAGATGCAACTAAGGTTACTAGAGGTCTCATGAACTCTTTCAGAGATGGAGTATACATGCACTATTGTATACATAAAAATATAAATAAAAACAAAGTGACCACATATTAAATGTACTGATCTGTATCCTATTTTGTGATCATAAAGGCTGTTCCACGTTGGTAGATATGTCTTTTATTTGGATGTGTATGTGTATATGTATAGGTATACTTATATATACGTATATCTATATATACATACATATACATTTAACTATAAGTGTATATATATATATGTGTACACACATAAACACATTTTAGTAATACTGTGATTTCAACTCAGGGCTGTGTACTTATACCTCAGTCCTTTTTCTTTTAGTTGATTTTAAGTTAGGGCCTCTGGCTTTTTGCCAAGTCGATCTTCAGACCACAATCTTTCTACTATGCTTCCCACCTAGCTAGGATCACAACCATATGCCATCATGAAGTTTCTTTGTTGAGATAGGGTCTTGCTAACTTTTTGCCCTAGCTGGCTTTAAACTGTATTTCTACTGATCTCTGTATCCTGAATAGCTGGGATCACAAGCATGTGTCATTGTACCCAGCTAAAAGATATAAATCTGGTTTTGGTCTTAAACAACTGTTACAGCATTCTAATGTATGAGTATACCACAAGTATTCTTGTCTTGCCAAGAATCAGATCACTAGAAAATAACTGACTAGATACATTTCAAGGTATTTACTATTCGAATTTCTTCTTTTTTATTCACTATATCATTACTACCAAATAAAATTTTAAAAAGGAAAAAAAAATTAAAGTTTCTATGCAACCCATGAATGATTTGGTAGAATATGTGAATATAATTTTAATTAATTTATTTTTTGGTTGGTTGTGGGGCTTGAACTCTGAGCCCAGGCGCTGTTCCTCAGCTCTTCAACTCAAGGCAAGCACTCTACCACTTGAGCCACAGCGCCACTTCTGGCTTTCTGGTGGCTAATTGGAGATAAGAGTCTCACAGACTTTCCTGCCCAGGCTGGCTTTGAACCACGATCCTCAGATCTCAGCTTCCTGGGTAGCTAGGATTACAGACGTGAGCCACCGGCGCCTGGCATGAATATAATTTTAAAATGTACATGTACAACTATATGAGGTTGAAAATATCAAATTATAAGTTCACATTTAAAAATTTTTTCAAACTCATTTTTAAGTTAGGTAAGTGTCATTATTCTTTCCAAATTTTACAACTTCTCTGGAAGTCAACATTTCTTATAGTTCTGGAAACCACAAAATAGATCGATCCAATATAAAAAATGGTAATGCATTTTAAAACACCAAAGAATATCTCTCCAAGGAAAATTTATAGTGCATATCTGTAATAAGACTTTCATCTCAGTTTAATTCCATACTTAGCTGCTCTTTTATTTTGAATCTACAAATGGAAAGCTTAAAGGCTTAAAGACAGTACCTTATAGCTAAACAGAGAATACTTTGATTTTAGTGTATGTTTCATTTTGTGATCTTGTGACAATGACAGGATATTTAAGTTCTCAGCAAAAAAGCACCTTTACCATAAATACTATACTGACTGTTATAAAAAGTACTGAAACAATTATTTTTTGAAATACCTAATGGTCTTAGGTCCATTTTACAGATAAACTAAGAATTCTAAATGTTAAGTAACTTGCCCAAGGACACAAAGCATATATATATTAGAACCACCTCTGACTTGACTTTAGAGCCTTTACTCTTAGCTATTATACTCTAAATAAATTTCATGATTGAAACAAAGAGGGTTAAATTATTAGAGCCATTCAAAGTAAACAAGGCCACCAAAAAAATAAATTTACTTCAATCAAGTTTGACCATCCTTACCACTACTAATGAAAAAGAAGAGAATAAGTTCCCATTCCATTCCTGAAAATGTCTAAGAGAGAAAACGCAAAATTCCTTTGAAAATAAATGGCTCAGTTATGCTACAAGTTTTATAAATGTCCCTATTTAATCAACATTTAATCAAGCTACCTCACATTCTTAAAGCCAAAGGTATCAGTATCAACAACAGAAACAAAACAAACAAAAACTTCAAGTAAAAACAAAACTTTAAGTAACCAACCACCAGGCAATGCTTTTTTAAATCTAACCAAGTTCTGACTGCAACTTAAAAGGCCTTTCCTTGCTGGGGGTGGTGGTAGCTCACCACTAGCTACTCAGGAGGAGGAGATTTGAAGATTTCTTTTCAAAGCCAGCCTGGGCAGGAAAGTCTTTGAAACTCTTATCTCCAATTAACCTCCAGAAAGTTGGAAGTGGAGCTGTGGCTCAAGTGGTAGAGTGCTAACTTTGAACAAACAAGCTCCAGGCAGGCAATACTCAGGCCTTGAGTCTCAGGACTGGCACACACAAAAAAGAAAAATTTTAAATTTATATGAAAAAGAAGACATTTCCTTTTAATCTGTTGCAGGCATATTGTTTTATTTGAAGAAAATAATTAAGTCATATAGAATCTAATCCATGGCTCAAGTGGTAGAGAGCTTGTTTAGCAAGTAAAAAGCCCCTCATTCAAACCCCAGGACCACAAAATAATAATAATAATAGAATCTAACTTATTCTAAGAAAAATTAAAACCTGTAATTCTTCCATTTAACTCTAAATCCTTTGTAAAAGTTCTTTTAAAATGTTTATTTTTATTTTTTACAGGATAATTGTTAAAATCAATTTCAATAACATAGACAGTCATAATATCCAGTGTTTCTACTACTTTTAAGAATAAAGATAAAGCTTGGTGCCAGTGGCTCACACATGTAATCCTAGCTACTGGGAGAAGGGAGAGATCTGGGGAGTACAGTTTTAAGCCAGCCTGGGCAGGAAAATCATGAGACATCTTTAACCACTAAAAATAAAAAGCCTGAAGTAAAACTGTGCCTATACTTCTAAGAGTGTTTAACCTTGAGCAAAAGAAGGTCATGTATAATATCCAGGCCCTGAGTTCAAGCCGCAGGACCAGCATAAAATAAATAAATGAATGAGTATGTAAATAAGAATAAAAATAAATATTTTCATGTTGTCATAATTCTATCTAATTTCATATTTGTTAGGTGCTGCAATAAATATTCTTATAGATGAATTTTGAAACTAATCCCACTTCTTTCCTTATAGTAAATTCTTACAATTAAAATAAACGGGTCAATGGGTTTTTGACTTTTGTTAAATATTTCTAAATTATTTTCTGTTATACCACATATAGATAATTCTTTACACTTCTGATTTCAGAGGTAATAAGCAATAGACAGATATAGTTTCAATATGTATCTTTAATTTGGCTAGCACAGTGAAAATAATTAAACTATATATAGTACAGCCAAATTGTGGAATACAATATACCTATAGTAAATATGAAGCATACTTATATACATGACAAGGGATAATCCAGAGAGATTAGTAGGGGGAAAAAAGCCATAGACATAAGTTTGAGTAGAAAAAATAAAGAAAAATAAAAGCTTTAAATTATCATATGTAGAGGGCACACATTTTTATTTTTAAATATTGTTTTTTAATTATAAAAGTAACTCAGGACCGTAAAAGACACTGAATAATAATATCCTTGGTAATTAAATATATTTCCAAAATTCTACTTGATGCAAACATTCTTATTTGTGCATATGAATGATCCAGAAGATTACATACCAAACTGTTAACAATGCTTACAGTAAGATCAAAAACAGTCTGAATGGAAGACATTTAAAATTTGTATATTATTGCTTGCATTTTTAATAAATACAAAAAGAAAAACTTTACCAATGTATTATTTCCATTATCTGAGGCCCTCCTTCATTTTTTGGTATGGTTATATCTAACATCAATAGTTACCCAGATCAATTCAGCACCTATTTTGTTAATTATATTTTTTATTATGTCATTATCCTAATTCCACTTAAACTTTGTGTGTATGTGTGTGTGTTCATAGGTTTGAATTCAGGACCCTTGCACTTACTACCAGGCATTCTACCACTGACACCACCACATCCTCAAACTATTTTATGTTAGTTCTAATAGGGACTCATATTTTTGTCTAGGCTGACTTGGATCATGATTCACCTATTTATACCTACCAAACAACTAGGATGATGGGTGTACACCTGCATATTTATCTTATTGGTTCAGATGGAGTCTAGATAACTTTTTGCCCAAGCTTGCCTAAAACCACTGCCTTCCAAATTTCTATCACTTAAGCGCCTGGAATTACATTTGTAGTCAATAGGCCCAGCTTATAACTACCCTACATTTTAGCACTATTTGTCAAGATTTAAAAGTCCAAGAACTATCTATTTTGGGCCAGGACATAGTGATGCATGCCTGTAATCCCAGCCACACAGAAGAAATTGGTAGGATTGCAGTATGAAGCAAGCTCTGGACAATAACCATAGATATGCAATCTGGAAAATAATGCAAGCTCAAGTAGTAGAATATCTGTGAAGCATGTACAAGGCAAAAAAAGAAGACAACTCATTAAATTATCTATTTGGATATCAATTTGGATGTCAAAAATACTATTGCTGGGGCTGGGAAGGTGGCTCAGTGGTAGAGTGCTTGCCTTGCATGCCTGAGGTCCTGGGTTCGATTCCTCAGCACCACATAAGAAAAAAGCCGGAAGTGGCGCTGTGGCTCAAGAGGTAGAGCGCTAACCTTGAGCTGAAGAGCTGAGGGACAGTGCCCAGGCCCAGAGTTCAGGCCCCACGACCGGATCCAAAAAAAAAAAAAATACTATTGCTGACTGGCCGCCAGTGGCTCACATCTGTAATCCTAGCTACTTAGGAGGCTGAAATTTGAGGACTAAGGTTCAAAACCAACCCAAGCAGGAAAGCCTGAGAGCCTCTTATCTCCAGTTAACCACGCAAAAACTGGAAGTGGAGCTGTGACTCAATTGGTACAGCACTAGCCTTGAGAAAAAAACAAAAATAAAAAAACCTCAGACTCTGAGTTCAGGAGCAGCAATTTCAGTGGAATTAGGATAATGACATAATAATAAATAATTAACAAAATAGGTGTTGAATTGATCTGGGTAACAATGTTACTGTTAGTATCCACACCACAATTATTGCTGTGTATGACAGCTAATACCTGTTATCTAGCTATTTGAAAGGCACAGATTAGAGGATTATGGTTTAAGGCTAACTTGAGCAAAATATTAGCAAGACCCTATCTCAAAGAACAAACCAAATGTTGGTTTCATGCCTATAACCCTAGCTATGCAGTAAGTTAAATTCAGGTATGTGTAAGCAGAGTTAGGAGAATCAAGGTCTAATACTTGCCTAGATATAAAGTATAAGACCCTATCTGGAAAATAAAATGATCACAAAAAAAAAATTAATGAGGCTCAAGTGGTAGAGTGTATGCCTAATAAGCATGCGCCCCTAAGTATAAACCCAAGTACCACATACACACACAAAAAAATTCTCAATAGTTCTAAACTAAAGGAAAATCCACAAATATTATTTATGTAATATGAATATAATACAACAAATCATATAAAATAAGCATTTGGGCAGGCACAAGGCATGATTTTAAAATGAATTTACTTATAGTAGTGTCTTTTTTTTAAATGGCTCTTAAACTAAAGGAAAATCCACACATATTATTTATGTAATATGAATATAATACAACAAATAATGTAAGATAAGCATTTGGGCAGGCACAAGGCATGATTTTAAAATGATTTTACTTATAGTAGTATCTTTTTTAAATGGCCACTATACTAATCTGCCTTATAAAATTCTGAAGATGGCAATCTATAGTGTGGGAATAACTGAACATAGAATACAAACCAGGAGTGATATTTAGTTCATTTCCTACAGCTAGACTCCATACTTTCCCACGAACACTAGGGGGCAATCCCTGCCACCACAATTCTCGAACTCTTCTTGTACTACGCCTAGAATTAAAGGAGGAGAAAAAAAGGAGAAAGTTACTTTTTATACCCCAAATAGCAGTTGCATGATGGTTCACCTATGACCAAGTGATCAGATGAATTTTACAAATACAGAGAGTTAAGTATGTAATGAATTCTTTCATATAAGTACATGATTATAGACCACAAAAGCCTATAAAGTATCTCAAAGAAGAACAATTATAATTTAATGGAAACTGTCTGAAACAATCAGAAATATGCAGTTGTCAAAAACAAGGACAATAAAGACAAAAAAAAATGTGTTGCCAGTTCAGTATCAAAAATAATCACAAAGAACTTGGTATGGGTAAGGCCCTAGTTTTGAGGAGCAGTAATCTGCTGAAAGAGTGTAGGCTTTAGAGTCTGAGAGACACAAATTCAAACCAGTGTAGCCATTCACCGATTGTATAACCTTGGGCAAATCACTTAACTTCTATAACCTTGAGCTTCTCTAAAAGATAAATGTGAGTACAAATGCATACATTTATAAAAGTTCTATTATAATTGCCTATGCAAAGAGCTTAGTAGAACACAGTAGTCTCATCTGTGGGAAATGCATGTTAAAACCCCTAGGAGATGGCTAAAACCAGACAGTACTACATTCAACGTATACTACATTTCTTCCTTCACATACAGACCTATGATAAAATGGAACATATTAATAAGGCACACTAGCAATTAATGATAATAACAAAATGGAACAATTACAAAAACATACTGTAATAAAAGTTAGGTGGATGTGGTCTCTCAAAATATCATTTGGTATGTTCACCTTTTCACTTAAATGAAGCACTTTACAACTTCTCTTCAATAGATCTAGCTGAACTGCTAGCACCTTTACTCTTTTGCTTGGGGCTATTATTAAGTTTTTTTAAAAAATGGTTACTTGAATACAGGCACTGCAACACCTGATGACTACCAGGCAGGTGGTATTTGCAGCATGGATAGGCTACAGAAAAAGGGGTGATTCCCCACCGGGAGACAGGAGTAAAGCAATATGCTTCTGAGAATAATGCACAATTTAAAACTTACGTGTTGTTTATTTCCACTTAGTATTTTCCAACCTCAGTGGACCACAGGTAATTTAAAAACTTCAGAAAACAAGATTGTAAATAAAGGGGTATCACTATGTTGGCTGTATTTCCAAAATTCAAAAAATTGTCTAAGTATGTCCTATCCTAGGCATTGCAGACTTTATCCCCAATTAGCCCAAAGGAAAAATAAAGCATATACAAAACTTATCCCAAAAAAAAGCAAATTAAGGCAAGAAGTACATTAGTCTTAACATAAGACAATAAGACATTTTTAAAAAAGCAAGATCAGACATATTTTAAGAGGCATTTAAAAATATTTTAATATTTAGTCTTTCAATAATTCATTTTATAATGTATATGTACATATAGTGAGCTCTTTCTGGAAACCTGCTATTATATTAATGGTATATCTCATAATGCATGGTATGTTAGGATTAGGAAAATATATAATTGAGGAGACTAAAATTTTCATGAATCAACTCGCATTTCATATGGGTCTCAAATATAGGTAAGATTTCAACAGGCACAGATATGGTCTGTAAGAGAAATACGTAACTGCACTTGATGGTTGGAAAAGGCACAGAGATAAACATGGGGATTTTCAGGTTAATAATACAGTTCATTCAAAGGATAAGATAAATGCTAGAAAGTAACAAAATACTAAATTGGAAAGATGAGAACTCTGGAGACAAACTAAACTTTGGGAAAAGTCTTCTTACTTACATCACTTCCCAATTGGGCAGTATTTCATTGATCCAAATTACCATTGCACTTGCAATGCTTTCTTCCTGTTTAAATCGCTCTTTCATTATTCTTTTTCTTTTATGCGCTTCTTTGATTTCTGTTTTAAACAAGGAAGAATTATTTCAATACGAATGACTTACAGCAAAACCTCCTTCTTCCTCCTCCACTTAACTCTTCAAAAGAGACATTTTCAAAAAGAATATTCTGCCAGGCACCAGTGAATCACGCCTGTAATCCTAGCTACTCAGGAGGCTGAGATCTGAGGACTGCAGTTCAAAACTAGTCTGGGCAGGAAAGTTCATGAGACTCTTTTTTTTTTTTTTTCCGGTCGTGGGGCCTGAACTCTGGGCCTGGGCGCTGTCCCTCAGCTCTTCAGCTCAAGGCTAGCACTCTACCACTTGAGCCACAGCGCTACTTCCGGCTTTTTTTCTTTTTGCTTATGTGGTGCTGAGGAATCGAACCCAGGGCCTCATGCATGCAAGGCAAGCGCTCTACCACTGAGCCACCTTCCCAGCCCTTCATGAGACTCTTAACTCCAATTAACCACCAAAAAGCTGGAAGTGGAACTGTGGCTGAAGTGGTAGATTGCTAGCCATGAGATAAAAAGGTCAGGGATACCACCCAGGCTTTGAGTCCAAGGCCCAGGACTGGCTCCCTCTCCCCTCAAAAAAGAATCTTCTGATAATAGAGATGAAGAATGGGACAGGAGAGAAAAGGGGAGAAAATTACATTGAGTAACATAATTTTTAAGTAACATTTTTTACTCCACAAAGTAAATGGAAAAAAGGCCAGGAAAATTATTTTAATAAGTTACCATACCAAATAGTTCTGTTTTCATTAAATCTATGAAATAAAATCTCTTATGGATTAACTAGATTAAAACAAACAACTATAAACAAATTACCAGTCCATTTTTCATAGATGTTTATAACTTTCATAGAGGTTTCAAGAGGTTTATAACTGTCTTAACATAACCCATGCAACAGGTCAGGCTGGAGGTGAGACACAGCAGTAGAGCACCTTCGCTGCAAGCATGAAAGCCCCAGGTTTAATCTCAGTACTGCCAACCATTTTTTTGGCCAATGTGATATTTAGTATTTTAATTATTTTAAAGTATAGTGTTTCACTTTACTAATTCCATTGAAATAAAAAAATTCTTCCCAACAAATACATGGATATAAAAAAATCCTCTGAAATCAGAGGTCACAATTTGAGAATAAGATGTGTCTCAAGTACAGAGAGAAGAAAATTATAAGTCATATATATTTTACATTATTTACTTTATTGTGCAAGCATTAGGGCTTGAATTCAGGACCTGAGTGCTGGTCCTAAGCTATTTTACTCAAAGCTGGCACTTTACCACTTGAGAGACAGCTCTGCTTCTGGCATTGTTTGTTTGGTGATTAATTGGAGGTAAAGAGTCTCATGAACTTTCCTGCTGGGGATGGCTTCAAACATCCACCATCAGCCTCTTGTGTAGTTAGGATTACAGATGCAATCAGCACCTGGTGAGTTGTATAATTTTAGAGCCACTGGGGGATTTTGTAGGACTAGATCAACTACCCCAACTATTTTCAAATTTTATTTCATATATGTCTCAGAAACTGTCTTAAGGGGAAAGCAGGGAGCTAAGTAAGTAAGCAATTCCACTTTTCTTCTGTGTATTCAAGTCCTGTGTAAGATGACTTAGGAAAAGTTGTCATTGTTGTTTTTAAAAAAAGAATAAGAGGACTGGGAAAGTGGCTCAGTGGTAGAGTGTTTGCTTTGCATGCATGAGGCCCTGAGTTCAATTCCTCAGCACCGCATAAGCAGAAAAAGTCAGAAATGGCGCTGTGGCTCAAGTGGTAGCGCGCTAACCTTAAGCTGAAGAGCTGAGGGACAGAGCCCAGGCCCAGAGTTCAGGCCCCACGACTGACTAAATAAATAAATAAGTGTAAATAAGTGTTTAAGGGGGCTTTAAAAACCTAGTTAACTTCTTTCCCATACTTCATAAAAGAACACAAACACCAGACCTCGTCAAATTATCACAGGCAGGTAGTAAGAAATAGGATTAAAGTTATAGTCTTATTTCCCAATTTAACATACTTTCTATTGTACTATATTTTTATGATCACAGATTTATCAATAAATAAATATAACCAAATAGTAAAGTCAATGTTAGTCAATAAACAACTATTGTGTATGTTACAAATATTTCAAAGTCTGCAGAAAAAAAAAACAAATTCAACTAATGTTTTAGAATAATAAAATTAGCTTTATGAATCTATGTGTATTCCAACATTAAAGAAATAACTTCATTTCCAGTATAGTAACAAAAGCAGAACTGTACACTGTTATCCCACTCACTTCCATTGAATTGAAGGGAAAAACAATTGTCAATATGACATAGTACTAAAAATGTATACACTGAGCAATACTTTCTAAAAATGCACACCTAAACTAACAATAGTCCGTAAATACTGTTAAATTCAGTTTTCGGATAATTCACTATCAAATGTCCTATTAAATTAAGTTCTTAAAATCAGGCAATTAACAATTTGAAGCTAAATCTTATACCTCTTTTTTTAGCCTCAGCCACCATTTCATCATATTCTTGTCGGTGGCGTAAAGCTTCTTCCACAGATTTAGCAGGAAGATTTCTACAAAATAGAATACAATTAAGTCAATTTTTAAAACATTAACTTTTAACATTAAGAGTCTGATTCAAAGAATTTCTAATCTGACCTCATTTCATATATTCAGAAAGTCTAAAAGAATCAGAATTGAACGTCCTAGTATTTATTGTATAAAAGTATATAAAAGATTTATACTTCATGCATCCATCAACTATTACATATTTAAACATTTCAGATCAAAGTCCGTATTTTTGGTTTTACTCTAAATATACTTATTAGTTTTCCTTTTTGTTCTGTGTGTTGGTCCTGGATATTGAACTCAGGGCCTAGGCACTGTTTCTGTCTTTTTGCTCAAGGTTAGTGCTCTATCACTTGAATCACAGGTCGACTTCCAGTTTTTTGATAGTTAATTGGAGATGAGTCCCATGGACTTTGCTGCCAAGGCTAGCTTTGAACATGATCCTCAGATCTCAACCTCCTGAGTAGCTAGGGTTATAGGCATGAGCTACCCAACTCAGGCTCTTTTCTTGCTAGGTAAGCATTCTACTACCACTTAAACAATGTCCTCACTTTTTAGTTTTTTGTTTTTTTTTTTTGTCTTGGGTTTTTCCCAGGGCCAACCTCAGGACATGACTCTTCTACCTATGATTTCTAGCATAGCTGTAATACAGGAATGAACCACCATGCACAGCTTGTTTGCTGAGATGTGATCTTGATAACTTTTTGCCCAGGCTGGCCTCAAACTGTGATTCTCCTGATCTTTGTCACCTGAGTAGTTAGGATTACAGGCATGAGCCACTATAGCTCATTCCCTGGACTGTACTTCTGTCTATGTAACTTGTATTATAGGCATATGCCACCGCATCCTGCTTGTTTGTTAAGATGGAGCTTTGGTAATCGCTAATACTTACGATGGTCGATCCTCAAGAATCAGGGCTGTGGTAGAAAGTGGCTCAAATTCAAAATTTTTACGTCGTGAAGACTGAGGTGGTGGTTTACATGTCCTTCCTGTTCGTGCTTCATATTCCTATGGTAAATATATGCATATATATAATCTAGGTAGAGATTTTTCTCTCAGATTATCAGCTTGTATTATTAAATATCTATGTCATTAAGAATATCATGGTATAAGGGATATATATGTACAAATTATACACCAATTTTATAAAAATTTCATGAAGACAAACAAGTTTCTTTTTATTTCTTTCAGTAACCTAAATAATGAAATTATATTACATAAAAAGGTAGACAGTGGGTTGAAAGAACAAATATTAATGTCCTAGATTAACTATGAAAGTTTTAAAGGACACATATTTTAATGGTATCAGCTATCCAAATCCATACTCAAATAACCTATGAGTAGTCTTCAACTATTGGTACTGGGAAAACTGGGCAGCCACACGTAGAAAACTAAAAGTGGACCTCAGCCTGTCACCCTGCACTAACATCAACCCAAAATGGATTAAAGGCCTCAACATCAAACCTGAAACTCTGAAAATACTGCAGGACAGAGTAGGAGAAACACTAGAACTTACAGATATAGGCAGGAACTTCCTGAACAGAGGCCCAGGTCACACAAATTGGAGAGAGACTTGACAAATGGGACTACCTTAAAATAAAAAGTTTCTTCACAACAAAAGACATTCCTACCAAACTAGAAAGACAGCCAACCAATTGGGAAAAGATATTTACCAGCAATATATCAGACAAAGGCCTACTATCCACTATACACAGGGAACTCAAAAAACTAATCCCTCCCAAATCTAACAAACCAATCATTAAATGGGCAAGGGAACTAAAGAGAGACTTCTCAGAAGAAGAGATAAAAATGGCAAAGAAACCCATGAGGAAATGTTCCATCATCCCTGGCTGTAAAGGAAATGCAAATAAAAACAAGACTGAGATACCACCTTACCCCAGTCAGATGGCCTATATCCGAAATTCAGATGACAAATGCTGGTGGGGATGTGGAGAAAGAAGAACCCTATTGCATTGCTGGTGGGAATGCAAACTAATACAACCACTCTGGAAAGCAGTCTAAGAGGTTCCTCAGAAAACTAAATATAGACCTTCCCACAAAGCCATACCACTCACTCCTAGGCATCTACCCTGACCAACAGGAACCAGGATACAAGGACACATGCACCTCCATGTTCATTGCTTTTTGCCAGTCATGGGGCCTGAGCTCTGGGCCTGGGCGCTGTCCCTCAGCTCTTCAGCTCAAGGCTAGCACTCTACCACTTGAGCCACAGTGTCACTTCTGGCCTTTTCTGCTTATGTGGTGCTGAGGAATCGAACCCAGGGCTTCATGCATGCAAGGCAAGCACTCTACCACTGAGCCACCTTCCCAGCCCCATTGCTGCACTTTTCACAATAGCTAAGCTATGGAAACAACCCAGAGGCCCCACTACAGATGAATGGATCCAAAAATTGTAGTACCTATATACAATGGAATACTATGTAGCCATTAGAAAGGACAAAATAATGGCATTCACAGAGAAATGGATGAAACTAGAACTAATCATGTTGAACGAGATAAGCCAAGATCAGAGAGACAAATGGCACATGGTCTCCCTGATATGCAGATGTTAAATTCAAAATGCAAGTCAATAGGACTCAAGAAACAAATGACCTCTTCTTAATTTGTTGTATTGTTTTTAGATGACTCCATATTCTTGACCTCACGTATAGTATATACATGTGTACATCTGAGGGAAGCTAGGAGAATGGTACAGAATCAGAGGGAAACGGGAAAAAACACAGCAGAGGGGCCCATCAACTGCACTGGACATTAATGAAAATGAACTAAGCAACTCATGAGCAGCAATGGGAGGGAGGGAATGAGAGAAAAAGAGGGAACAGCTTACACTAAGCAAAAGGAAATAAATGTATGTGTCACCCGATTTGGGAAAAATGGCTGTCGTGTCAAAGTTTGTAGAGTCCATAAGCTTTACAAACCATGATAATGACAATGCTCCTTGTGAAGGTTAAAATGTATTTGTGACTTTAAGTATATCACTATCCCATAATACTGTGAAATTTCAATAAAGAAAGAAAAAATAATCTATGAGTAAATCTTTATCCAGATCAATGATGGAAATGCTGAAATGGATAATTCCACTATAATGCTCAGAAGATCTTTCACAAGGTTGACATTGAACCCCTAATCAAATGGTTGTTTTATATTTCAATCTGCTATGGTTAGCTACACTAACTTTAGAAACTCTGCCAACACATCTTACACAAAAGTATTACCCAAAACTCTGTCATATGTTTCACTACATTAAGAAAATATTTTTATATTTTTCTAATTTCACTGAGCAAAATTCTATTAAAAAGAATGAAGTTAACTGGACACATTTAATGTTCCAATTTGAGCATTCTTTCATAAATATTCACTTTTTTTCTCAGTACTGGAATTTGAACCCAGAGCTTCACACTTGCTAGACATGTGCTTTACCACTAATGCTATGTCCTCCAGCCCCCTTTTTTTCTTTGTTTCATTATTTTTCAGATATAGTCTGGAATATTTTTGCCAGGGCTTTCCTGGACCAAGATGCTCTTACTTAAGCATCCCATATGGTTGGGATAAAAAACATGGGCAACCATGCCCAACTTTTTATTGTACTATACTACTGACAACTTTTTGCCTAGACTGGCTTTGAATTAATATCCTTCTACAGCCTACCTCCTGAGTAGCAGAGATAACAGGTATGAATTGCCATACTTGTCCTAAATGTTCACTATATGAAATTTATTTCTAGAATTTCATCAAATATCAGTAACAAGTGTGCTGATGTATAATTCCCAGAACCACATCTTCCTTCTTTATTAAAAAAAAAAAAAATCCTACAGGGACTTAGGTAGCTCAGCCTGTAATCTAGCTACTCAGGAGGCTAAGATCTGAAGATCATTATTCCTAGCCAGCCTAGGCAGAAGAGTCCCCATATAACTTTTATCTCTAACCACTCAAAAAATGAAAAGTGGAGCTATGGCTCAAAGTGCCTTAAGCAAAAGAGCTCAGAGACAGCCCCACAACCAAACAAAACAAAAACAAAAAATCCAAAAGTAATGCTGTGGCTTAAGTGCTAGCCTACCTTCCATTGGCTGGAACCATAGAGTGGGGATTTTATAGAAAATCCTTAAGGCAATTTAGGTTGTTTTTAAAAAATAATCTCTCTAATAAGATTAAGTTTGTGTGTGTGATGATTCTGGGGCTTGAATTTAGGGCTTGGATACGGTGCTTGAACTTTTTGTGAAGGCTACCACTTAAAGTAAAGCCATAGCTTTATTTCTGGCTTTCTGGTGATGAATTAGAGATGAGTCTCATAGACTTCCTTGTCCAGGCTGACTTTGAACCACAATCTTCAGATCTCAACCTACTGAGTAGGTAGGATTACAGATAAGCCACTGTCATTCATTTATAGAGAGCCAGAACAATCTTTCAGAAACAGAACAAACTCCTTATCTCTATTTTAAGACCATGTTTGCCCAAGATGAAGGAACTCTTTAATACAACTGAATCATAGCCAGAGAAACTACCATGCTTAAAGCAGAGAGAGTGTAGTCAGTTATGATGCCTAGGTCAGACACAGTGGCTCATACCTCTAGTCTCAGCTACTTGGGTGGCAGATATTAGCAGGATCACAGTTTGAGGCCAGCTTAAGCAAAAAGTTATCAAAACCCCATCTAACCAATAAGGTGGGCATAATAATTCATACCTGTGACCCTAGCCATGCAAGAGGCATATAATCCTTTAAAAGCTATAAGATACTTCAAAGCTATATCAATACTTACCTGCTGAATGATTTTGGAAGTTTTTTGGAGATTCTCTCTGGGAGGGACTTTTCCAAATAATTTCCAACCAGGCGCACTATGAACAACTGATTTGAGTTCCTTTGTCCTTTTTAGAAAAAGATTTCTGAAACACAAAAAAAGTTTCACAAATTTTGTATTTTGTAATCAGGGAGCAACTAAATAATAATTGTTGAAGTTGGGCCTGGGAAGGTGGCTCAGTGGTAGAGCGCTTGCCTTGCATGCCTGAGGCCCTGGGTTCGATTCCTCAGCACCACATAAGAAAAAGAAAAAAGCCGAAGTGGCGCTGTGGCTCAAGTGGTAGAATGCTAGCCTTAAGCTGAAGAGCTGAGGGACAGCGCCCAGGCCCAGAGTTCAAGCCCCACGACTGGACCCCAAAAAATAAAAATAAATAATTGTTGAAGTTACCTTTATTTCTAAGGAAAGCACAAAACATTTTCAAATAAAATCATTTCTAGGGGCTGGGAAGGTGGCTCAGTGGTAGAGTGCTCGCTTTGCATGCAGGAGGCCCTGGGTTGGATTCCTCAGCACCACTTTGGCACAAAGTCGGAAGTGGCTCTGTGGCTCAAGTGGTAGAGCATTACTAGCCTTGAGCTGAAGAGCTGAGGGACAGCGGCCAGGCCCAGAGTTCAGGCCCTACAACCAACCAAAAAATAAATCATTTCTAGCCAGACACCAGTGGCTCATGTCTAGAATCCTAGATACCAAGAGGATGAGATCTGAGGATTACAGTTTCAAACCAGCTGGGTCAGAAAAGTCTATGAGACTCTTATCTCCAATAAACCACTAGAAAACTGGAAGTGGCACTATGGTTCAAAGTGGTATAGTGCTAACCTTGAGCAAAAAAGTTCAAAGACAGGTCCTGAATTCAAGCCCCACTACCAACAGAAAAAAAGTATTTCTACTATTTATATTAATACTGGTTTAGGCTAACACGCTTCAGTTAGGAGTACCTGGCTTAGCTGTGTGCCATTGACTCACACTTTCTAATCCTAGCTAATCAGGAAGCAGAGATCAAGAAGATTGAGGCTCAAGTCTAGCCGGAGCAGAAAAGTTCAGAAACCCCATCTCCCAAACAACCACCAAAAAGCCAGGCTAGAGGTATGGCTCAAGCAGGTGAGTGTCAGTCTTAAGGTAGCACAAAGCCAGTAACAGAGAGAGAAAAAAAAGAAAATATATCTTATATAGATGTATTAGAAGACTCATCAATAAAGATAATAGTTAAAAAAATTGGAAGACAGCTGTAAATATAAATAATAGTTCTGAATTCATAATTCACATACTTAACAATAAAAGCCAAAAATTTGAGAACAAAGAAAATTGAAAAAAAAAACACCTAAAGGGTTAGGTAATATAATACTTTTAAAAAATACTATTTAGTTTGCTGTCAGTTGTAATAAAAAGTATATTTAATATAAATTGTTTTCCCTAGGATAAGCTACATATAACAATGCTTATTGCAAACAAACCAATATACAGCCAAGGGAAAAATGTACTTCTCACTGAAATATCTAAAAACAAAATAAAACAAAAAATCTGTACATATATTTTACTTTTCTTATTTTTGGACTAATAGTCCAAGCCCTAAGCAATCAAAATGTAGAACCTAACTGGTTATGAAAACTGGGAATGACATTCAAAGTGTTGCTCATCAAAACAGTATGGAGAGCCAGCACAGTGGCTCAAGCCTGTAATCCTAGCCACTTAGGAAGAAGAAAACGGGGAAGAATAAATAGGAAGATCACAGTGCAGGCTGGCCTGGACATAAAGCAAGACCTCTAAAATAACCAACACACAATAGGGCTCAAGTGGTAGAGGCCTGCCTAGCAAGTGTAAGGCCCTGAGTTTATATCCTAGTACCAAGAAAGCGAAACAGTATGGAAGGGACAGCATGGACCAATTAGAAAAGGTACTGATGAATCTTAACTCAATTACCAAACATTTATACAGGCTATGATACAAATGGAGATTAAGAAAAGCTTAAATTCATGTACAGTTATAGCTCCAGATTATTTTAATTCCCAAATAACCAGGTTTAGCTACACTCAAATACCACATAAATATATCTTGAAAGAAATATCATAATATAGAAATAAGTTTTTAGTAAATTTCAACAATTAAATTTTTTTTTTTTTTTGGCCGGTCATGGGGCCTGACCTCTGGGCCTGGGCACTGTCCCTCAGCTCTTCAGCTCAAGGCTAGCGCTCTACCACTGGAGCCACAGTACCACTTCCGGCTTTTTCTGTTTATGTGGTGCTGAGGAATCGAACCCAGGGCCTCATGCTTACAAGGCATGCACTCTACCGCTGAGCTACCTTCCCAGCCCCCAATTAAAAATATTTTTATTTAGATATGCAACAGAAAAGATGACATCACAAAGCAATTTCTGTTTAAAGTACTTTAGAGGTTTCTTTTCTTTTCTTTTTTTGCCAGTCCTGGGGCTTGAACTCAGGGCCTGGGCACTGTCCCTGAGCTTCTTTCTTTGCTCCAGGTTAGCACTCTAGCACTTGAGCTACAGCTTTTTCTGTTTATGTGGTACTAAGGATTCGAACCCAGGGCATGATGCATGCTAGGCAAGCACTTTACCACTAAGCCACATTCCCAGACCCTGTTAGAGGTTTCTTTATAGATGCTTATAATATATAGATGCAGTAATTTAATTTTCCACTTTTTAAGATCCTAGGTTAGAGGTTTTTCAATAATGAACACACTGAAGACCAGGAAATTGACAAGTAGCAATTTCAAGCCACAGTGGATGACCTATTAAAGTATGGGCAACACAAGCTATGTCTGCAATTTATTGCCTCTTAACTCCATATTTATCCTGTGATAACAGAATTCTTTAAGTATTTCTTCTTCAAAACAAATAAACATGAAACTGGCTTTCTCATTATAAGTCATTGAAGGGATACTAAAGGAGAAACAGGCTTTCTGGTGGTTTCCAGCTGAGGCAGAGTAAGGTGGGTGGTATTATGGGTATGAGATCATTCAGTAGAACTGGTCAACCACATGCCCAAACTGTGTAGTCCCTCAGCAAACTTTCAGATTCAGCCTAGAGATAGAAATGGCCACTCTACACCTCTCTAGTCATGGAAAGAACCTCATCAATTTTCAATGGGCAGAAGCAGGAGTGGGAGATGACAGGCCTGGATCACTTATCTCTAAAAAAATATACAAATCAAGGCTGGGAATGTGGCTTAGGGTAGAGTGCTTGCCTAGCATGCATGAAGCCCTGGGTTAGATTCCTCAGTACCATACAAACAGAAAAGGCCAGAAGTGGCAGTGTGGCTCAAATTGTAGGATGCTAACCTTGATCAAACAAAGTTCAGGGATAGTGCCTAGGCCCTGAGTTCAAGCCCCAGAACTGGCAAAAACATTAATAATAATAATAATAAATAGATAGAAAAGAATCAAAAAACACAGTTAAGACACCAGTTCACATAGTTATTACTATTTAAACAAACACACACAAAATAGGAATTGATGAGAAAGCAAGAAAATTGGAACCTGATGAATATTTAAAATGATATAGTAAAGCCACTGTACAAAGTATTTTCACAACTGTTCAAAATGTTAAACACAGAATTAGCATATAAACCAGAAATGCCTAGGTTTTTACCTAAAAGAACTAAAAACAAAGATTGAAACAAATACTTATATATCAATGTTTGCAGCAATAGTACTGACAAATCAAAAGGCAGAAATAACTCAAATACTCATCAATAAATGAATGAGGCTGGGTGTCTAAGGCTCACCCCTGTAATACTAGCTATTCAGGAGGCAAATCTAGAGGTTTATTGGACAAATCTACTGGCTTATTGGAGATAAATAAATAACTCTTATCTCCAATAAACCAGTAAAAGCTGGAAGTAGAGGTATGCCTCAAGTGGTAAAGTGCTAGTCTTGAATGAAAAAGCTAAGCAGATAAGAGTTAAGACCTTGAGTTCAAACCTCAGTACTGGCACCAAAAAATAAATAAATAAGCAAAATTTGGTGTATACATATGTTATAGAATGAACTATGTCCCTTAAAATTCCTATGTTGAAACTCTGATCACTAGTCCCTTGGACTATGACTGTATTTTAAGGGTTTTTAAGAGAACTCAAGGTCATGTAGATGGGCTTTAATCCATATGCCTGGTATTTTTGTAAAAGGAGATACCAGGGCTGCATGCATAAGAGGGAAAATGAAAGGAGGATTGATTCAACAATAAAGAAGTAGAAGCTAGGTGCTAGTGGCTTACACTCGTAATCCTAGCTACTCAGGAGAATGAGATCTGAAGATCACAGTTTGAAGCCAGCCCAGGCAGTAAAGTCCATGAGACTCCTAACCACCAATTAATCAACAAAACCTCAGAAATGGAGCTGTGAATCATGTGGTAAAGATCTAGTTGAAAAAGTTCAATACAGTTCCCAGGCCGAGTTCAAGCCTAGCCCAGGATTAAGGGAAAAAAATTAAAAAGCAGAAAAAGTACATGATATTCTTACCTCTAAATAACCAGCAAAAAACTAGAAGTGGAGGTGTGGCTGAAGTGGTAAAGGATCAGCCCTGAGCAGAAAAAGCTAAGGAACAGCACTCAGCTCATAAGTTTAAACACCACTATCCATACCAAAAAAAAAAAAAAAAGTAAAGAAAAAAAAGCAGCAGCAGCTAAAAAAGCAGCTATCTACAAGCTAAGGAGAAAGACTATGGGAGAAACTAAACAGTTCATCTTCATTTTAGACATATAATCTTCAATACTATGAGAAAACAAATTTCTGTGTTGTTTTGTTTTGTTTTGTTGCAATGGGTCTACTTGTATCCCTATTTAAACGATTTGTTTTTTCCCTTCCCCTCCACAAATTATACCAACATCAAATACAGTGAAAGCAGGGGTTATACTGTGGGGGAGGGATATACAAAGCACCAAAGAAATCATCTTAAAAATATGTTAGAAACAATCACATGAAAGAAAAAACATTTAAATACTTATCTTGGAGTTCTTTTCATCTAACATCAACTTATCTGACCTTTTCTGCTTGTCTCAGACATATACTAGTTATTGCAAATAAGGGAAACCATGGGACCTATGTTTCTTTGGGCCTGGCTTACTTCACTTAATATAAT